ATCCTACAGGTATATGGAAGGGTAATGTATAGCATGAAATATATAAATGTACAGTTGGTATAAAAAGTATTCAGACCCTTTTGAATTTTGCGCTCTTTGTTTAGTTACAGTGTTTGCTAAAACCAAAAAGTTCTTTTTTTTCTCTCATCAATGTGCCTCATAACCCAATCTTGACGGAAACAAATAGCAAATTTGTCAAAAAGGAAAAGCTCAATTATTACATGGTCATAAGTTTTTAGATCTTTTGCTTCATGTTAAGTAGATACACTCCTTTAAGATAGTACACCCAGGAGTCTGCTGGTTTTAGGGATCCTCTGCCATTCTGCCTTGCAAATCCCACGGGCGGAGCTAGAAGAGGGGCTGGGGGTGGCCTTCACCATTGACAAGCCCAACCAGGTAATTTGTTGCTCTCATTAGAACGTACTTTAACACCTCCTGAACAAGCAGTTACCCTCTAAACCAAAGGGTGCTAGTAGCGATACTCTCAGGTGGAATTTCCTAACTTACTTGATTTCTTCTGGTTATTAGTATATTTACCTTAAATTGACAACAAGACCACAGTAATAAGTGAATTGTTAATATCAATATACTAACCTTAAATAAGGCAAAAAAAAAAAAAAAAATCTTCTTTTCAGTACAAGCGATTTAAGGGAAAGAAGGAGAAAGTTATAAGTCCCTGCAGTTTTCCAGGAGTCTTCCATAAAATTAGATATTAAGAAAAACTGCTTAAATTTTTAATGTGTGTAATATGCAGAACCAATATGACTGTATATTCTAGTTGAATTGTCTGTAAAGTGCCTTGAGGTGACATGTGTTATGAATTGGCAAAACAGAAATAAACTGAATTTAATTGAATTGAACTGAACTGATTTAGACAACATAGATGTATGAATATGTGTGCAGATTTATTAGAAGGGGCTTCTGAAAAAAGTAGTCAGTCTTTGGGGATTTATTTGGAAAGTATGGATGTTTTGCTTTTTTATTTTCCTGTTGGGTCAGTCTGATTAGTGCAGACAGACCCTAAACTGGTTTTGGTGCCTATCAGTTTTTGACCATCCCTTAGCGCTCATTGGTCCCTGCCTGACCATCCAGTTGACAGTAGCTGGCTTCACAACTAGCAGGTTGGATGGTNCTGATGGGATGGGTATTTTACTCTTAAAATAAGATAATTAGATAATATGCGCTTGAAATAAATGCAAATGTTTTTTCCATTTTAAATGTAAATTGTCTTGTTCTGTTCGCTGAGTGTCTCACTTACCTCCTCAACTCCAGAAAAAAATTCCTTATTTTAAGAAAATGTCATGATCTGGCCTGTTTGCTCCTCCTTAATTAGTCATTCCTTTCACCTGTCATTTTCCCTCCCTGCCTCTATTATAATTTATTCCTCTCACCTGTTTCCTGTTGGTTATATTCAGATCAGCCTGAGCATTTAGGGCCAGATCATTATTTGTCTTTCTGTTAGTCTGTCTGAGTTTATTCCTTGGTTCATGTCCTGGATCCTAGCTGCCAGTGGAAAGAGGGTTTTTGTGTTTGTCTCGTCTCCTGATCGTTCACTGTTCCTCCCCCGCGGAGTCCTCTGGGTTTTTGGCTCATTATGGGAGGAGGTTCAGTTTTTATCCAGTAAGCCTGGCTCCAGGGAGGAGACCAGTTTAAAGTCCTGCTTCAAGTTCTGGTTCCACGTCCTGTTTCGGCTACCCTCTTCCACTGAGCCTGCTCATCTGCACCTGATCCTGTCTGCTCCTGTGCGTGACCACCTAGTCATGCTTCAGAACTCTGTCAGACTCTGAACCTGTCCTGGAGCTCTGTTATAGCCTGGAAGCCTGCTACCTGTCCTGTTCCTGCCTGATCTGCAACCTGTTCTGTCTGTTCCTGCCTGATCTGAATCCTTGATCAGGATTGGCTTCCTGCAACTCCTCCGGAGCTGCAGC